CAAATCAATAAACATATCATCGGGTGAGGATTAAAAAATGTGGTATATCCATACAATGAAATATTATTTGGCCATAAAAAGAAATGAAGTTTTGATATGTGCTACAACAAGCATGTCAAACTCGTGGCCTGTGGGCCGCAGACGGCCCAGCCAATATAACAGTATGTAAGAAACATTTCAATAAAATTTTTTTAACTTAATCTTTACAATATTTTGTTATACATAATTACCAATAACAAATTACAATGTTCGCTAATGACTGATTACTATAATTGTGTTGCATTCATTTCCCTTACGCACCTTACAGGCAGGCGCACCATTTTTCTCTACTAATACTAGCAGTGAATATTTTAGCAGCTGATTGCTACCTCTTGGACTGACTTGTTTGGTGTGCACAACAGGAAATATTTCGCATTTGGAGAACAAGAATAATAGATTTATGTGCGTTACGCTTATTAATTTGTGCAGATCTTCAGTGTCTGGTAAGTTCATGTTCAAGAAAAATATTTTTATTAAAATGTTCTATTATTTTATGTTAACGATGACTCATTTACTTCAGCCCTTTGTATTTAGCATGTCTCTATCGAAATAAACGTACGTTCCTATGAAAATTGAAGCTTTTGTTTCTTTGCGGCCCACGTAAACTTAAACCTTGTTTATTTGGCCTGTGTTAGCCTTTGGGTTTGACATGCTTGTGCTACAATATGGATGAATCTTGAAAACATTATGTTAAGGGAAAGAAGCTAGGCACAAAACCCCACATAAATTTAATTTAGTTTATATAAAATATCCAGAACAGGCAAATCCCTAGACACCAAAATAATCAGTGGTGGGAAGGGCTGGGAGGGGGGCCAGAGTGAATGGAGAGTGACCGTCAATGGTTACAGAGCTTTTTTTTTTTTTTTTTTTTTTAAATATATATATATATATATTTTTTTCTTCCTTTTTTTTTTTTATTATTAGTTAAGGTATTACAAATGTGTCCTCATCCCCCCCATTAACCCCCAACCTCCCCCCCTTTTAAATATATTTTATTGATTTTTCACAGAGAGGAAGGGAGAGAGATAGAAAGTTAGAAACATCGACGAGAGAGAAACATCGATCAGCTGCCTCCTGCACATCTCCCACTGGGGATGTGCCCGCAACCCAGGTACATGCCCTTGACCGGAATCGAACCCGGGACCTTTCAGTCCGCAGGCCGACGCTCTATCCACTGAGCCAAACCGGTTTTGGCTACAGAGCTTTTTTGAGGTGGTGAGAAATGTTTGGGAATTAGATAGTGGTGATCAATGCATTTTATTGTTATTATGGGATTTTTTTAGTCAGAAGACAGGTCGAGCTATTCCCATAATAACAATGCATTTAGTATACTTTGTGACTGTACTAAAACCACTGAATTACAAACTTTGAAATGGTGAACTTTACTGTATGTGAATTATATCTCAATACAACTGTTATTTCAAAAACAAGTCATTAGAAAATAAGAAGTCTGACAAGTGAAGGGACAGAACAAAAGAAAGTCCAAAACCAGACCCGACAGCAAAGAGGTGCCTAGTGTGTGATAGCGCCTTTCAGAGCCACGGGGGAGGATGGAATCATTTCACCCCAAAACCGATCACCCAGAAACGGTGAAAGCAAATGGCTTCCCCTCTCTGTGCTTCAGTTTCCTCATCTCCCACTCTGACATGATCACAGCTACTCAGGCAATGACTGGGGATATTCAACGACTAAAGCGACTGCCTGGTGCCTGGTGCAAGGGAAGCCCTCAGAAAAACAGTCGCTGCCTTCACAACAGGCCCAGAATGGAGAACCACAGCATCTTAGAGTGACCGGTGGGGACAGCTCCACGGAATCCTGGAGTCTCAGGATGTCAGAACAGGAGAATCTTAGAATAATACATGCGTAGAATCCTGGAATCATCGAGCCACTGAATTGTAGGCATTTGAGAGCCAGAAGGACCTCGGAGACCATCTGTCCCGTGATTTGCAAGTCTGGAGATTTTAAACTAACAGTAACAACAACAACAACAGCAGCAGCAGCAATAACCATGGCAGCAGCAGCAGCAGCAGCAGCTAATGGTGTTTACCATGTGCCACTCACTTTTCTAAACTTTCATACAGCAACTTACTTAATCCTGGCAACAACCCAACAAGGTATGTACTATTATTATCATCACTTTATACAGATTGGAAAATAAAGGCACAGAGAGGTTCAGTAACTTACTCAAGGTTACAGGTACCAGATAGTGAATGACAGAGCTAGGATCTGATCCCAGGCCAGAATCCACATTCAGATTCCAAGGCCTTAGCCCCAGAAATTCTGGGTCAGGGTGGGGACCCTGGAGTATATATTGTAAGCTACCTAGATAATTCAGATACTAGCAAAGGCTGAGCATCACCCGTTTAGCAAAACTGGTGGCAAACTGGTGGTCCTTAGGCCATAGCCAGCCTATAGCCACACAGTGTTGCTATATGGCTCTGTATATATATATATATATATATATATATATATATATATATATATATATGATTGATTTCAGAGAGGAAGGGAGAGGGAGAGAAAGACAGAAACATCAATGATGAGAGAGAATCATTGATCAGCTGCCTCCTGCACGCCCTCTACTGGGGATAGAGCCTGCAACCAGGCATGTGCCCTTGACCGGAATCAAACCCTGGACCCTTCAGTCTGCAGGCCGGTGCTCTATCCACTGAGCCAAACCAGCTAGGGCGCCACACGGTGCTTCAAAATCGAAGCTGTCCTTTAAAAAATCAGCTGGTTTCAAATATTTCTGGCTTCTTTTGAAAAATTTGGAAGATGTGGCAACCCTATGTCCACATTCCCAAAGGGCAAGTATCAAGTGTAGCTGAGCAGCAGCTGCCCCCTTAAAGGGTGGTATTATATCTCTATGATGAAGCCTTGGTCCTCAATCCTTCACGTTCCCTTTCTGAATCCTGGAGGCATTTCCATTTATAATCCCTGGTTTGGCCCAGCTCCCACACGGTAAAGAAAGGGAAACTGAGGCTCACAGAAAGGAAGAAGACCCAGAGTAAGTAATACAGCAAGTCCAAGGAAAAAGGGAACAGCCCGACCTGTCTCCTAACTAAAAAAATTCCCATAATAACAGTAACAACAGCTAACATTTTTTTTGAGTACTTTCCATGCATTAGGCATCCATGCTAAGCGATTTTCAAACATCAGTGAACATGAACTACCACCTTAAGCGGGTACCATAATAAAGCCCATTGTACAGATGGGAAAATGAGGCACGGAGAAATCAAGTCACTTGCTCAAGGTCACACAGGCCAGAAGTGTCAGAGTAAGATTCAACTCTACATCGGACTCCAGGGCCCGAGCCTGCAGTCATTGTCCCCCTCATTCCGTGGGGTCCCGGAGTAATAATAAGGCAGAGGAAAAACCCTGCTTCTAGAAACCTTCGACTCCACGGTCTCAGAGTTCCTGTGGATTAGGGGGTGGGGGTGGGAGGCTCAGGCACAGACGGTGCTGACCCCATGCCCCCTGCAACATGAACAAACTCTTGGTGAACCCAGGGTCCCTTGTGGCAGCGACCAAGGTGGAGGGAAGAGGCAATACCCTCGCTTTCCTGCAAACTGTGGGTCAGCTGCTGGTGGGAGAGGCCGGCGGGGCGAAGGGAGCGGAGCGGATTCAGCACCAAGGACAGCGACCGCGCCGCAAGCCCCGCGGTCCTTTTTTGGGGGGGACGCTCAGCTGGGCAGCATTCTTCCGAGGCTCTCCCGCCACCGTTTCCCCCACGAGCTTGGGGAAACGCGGTCCCCCACCTCAGAGCAACAAGAATGACCAAGACTTCCAGATGCCTTTTGCCAAGGCCCTCCATTCGTTTCTAGGCAGACATTCAGGAACCCTCGCAAGCGGCCTGTCCGCCGCCCAGGGCTTCCGGCCCCTCTGACACCTCGCGTGCAGGACGATGGGAGCGGGAGCGGGGAGAGAGAACGGACATGCGCAGCTCGCCCCGCGCGCCCCTCCGCCTGGGTCCCTGCGCTCCAGACGCCGCAGCCGCTGGGGGCTCCGCAGCTGCCCACCTGCCGCACCGTGGTCATGGCAACCGGGGAGGCCTGGGAAGCCATTGGTCCGCTCCCAGCCACGCCCCTGGCGGCCGCCGCTTCCCCGGAACTGAGACGGCGGAGTGACGCTGACGGGAGCGCTCTGTCGGAGAAGGACCCGCCCCTCGCTCGCTAACGAAACATCCTTTCTCCAAAATGGTGGCTGCCCCCGTACAATAATTCACGGAGAGAGGGAGTATGAGAGGCTCAGCGCCGCGGGAGGTGGACGGGCTGTCGCTGAGGTTACTTCCGGTGAGGACCGGAAGTGGGAGGCAGGTTGCCGGGAGAGACAATGGGATGAGATGGGGGCGGAGAGGCTGTGGAGGGTCCCAGGAAGGAGGGGGGCGCAGGGGGTTGTGGGCCAGTGGTCTGCAAACTCATTAGTCAACAGAGCCATATAGCAACAGTACAACGATTGAGATTTCTTTCGAGAGCCAAATTCTTTAAACTGAAACTATATGGGTAGGTACATTGTTATTAACTTCATTAGGGTGCTCCTAAGCTGGCCTTTGCTAAAAACGTCCTCAATCTGAGGGGTCGACCTCAGCGAAGGTACCCCCACTTCTTCTAACGCCACTTCTTCAAAATAGACTCGCCCAGGCCGGAAACCGACTTCTGCGCATGGGCCACGAAGTTTCAATCGCCTGCACGTGGTATTTTGTGGAAGAGCCACACTCAAGGGGCCAAAGAGCCGCCTGTGGCTCTCGAGCCGCGGTTTGCCGACCACTGACCTAGACCGGAAGTCTGGAGTCCCCAGGCGGACTCCCTAAGAGTAATAATACTAACCACGGCCGTGTATTCGATTGCCCAACATGTGATCAACATGAACCCTTTGAGCCCCATAACCATCCAGTGATGGGAGAAGGTGTCACTTCCCGAACCGCACCAGCTGTACAGAAACCCACGCTGCCCCGTGCTGACCTGCTTGGCTCTGTCGGGGTTCATTGTGGTTTGGGGTTGAAGGATGTTGACCACCTCAGGCTTGGTCATCGCCTGTGGGATTTCTCGGACCTTCTCGGCGATAAAGCTGTGCACGGCGTTCAAGGCCTCTGCCGTGCCCTGCACCAGGCACACTCGCTCTGTGGTTCCTGTTGAGCAAGGAAGAGACGGGCCCCGGTTAATGGCAAGAGAAGAGAAAACGGAGGACCTGGGAATGTGGGGTCACATGGTAAGCCGGTGGAGCTGGCACGGGCTCCCGGGCCATCGCGGGCAGCTGGGGGAGTGAGTGGAATCCCTGTTTTGTAACCTGCACTTCACGGCCCTCCCCTCCCCTAAAACAACCCGAGGGGATGGAAGAATGATGCTTAAGTGCTTGGCGATGCCCACAGCAGCCCTGGGCAGGGGAGACAGGGCTCAGCTGCCTCTTCCCAGTCCTTGCTGGCTCCCGGTTGCTTTGGCAACCATTCACTCACTCCCCCCCCCCCCCCTTCCAGAAGCGGGAGAGCTCAGGCCTGCAACGGTTGCCACAGTAACTGGAACCCCCTTATCGGTCTGGCTGGCCGGGTCCTCAGCCCACCCCCAGGGGGACGAGGGATGAGGCCCTGTTGCCATGGCAACCCCTGAAAGCCTGCAGCGAGGGCCTCTGGGCTTTTGGAGAGGATGGGGAAGGGTTGGGGGATGGGGAGACAGAAGAGAGGCCTGAGTGCCTGCCTGGACCCACCAGATGGAGGGCTGAGGGGTGGGGGAGGGCATGGGTGTGGACACAGGGGAGGGCAGAGGGGGTCAAAGGCAACTCATGGGAGCTTAGGCAATGGGGGACTGGGTGCCTTTGCTGGAAATTCTCCACATATTGGCTCTGGTTCTGACCCAGGCATCATTGTGTCATTGTGTGTGTGTGTGTGTGTGTGTGTGTGTGTGTGCATGTGCTGGGGGGCAGTGGGGAGAACTCTGGGTGGTGTTGGGGTAATTCTGTGGGAGACACACACTGGGTGACACTGTGAGAGCAGTGTGTGTATATTTGTGACTCTGGTTGAGTGGTGTGTGTGTGTGAGCACACGCGTGTGTTCACTTGGGGGCAGGACTGGGTAAATGATCTTTATCAGAGTATGTGTGTATAAGAGAAAGGGCAGAAGAGATGAGAGATAAACGGACTGCATGACATAGTGATTCCAGGAAAGGAGTTTGTGTGTACTCTTGTATGTGAGAACGTCGCTGTGATGTTCAAGGTTAAGTACACTGTGAATTTGAAGGAGACAAAGAATCTCAGGAAGCAACACTGAGGCTATACAATGAATGTGTACCACTGTAACTGTATGCCAGTATGTGTGTGTGCCTATATGTGTGTACAGGTGTGTAAAGGAAAGAGACAGCCTGACACCCTCGTGTTCAAAACACTATCTGAATGACGGGTACGTGGTATGAATGTATAGGCGTGTGACAGTGTGTATAGGATATAGACAAGACTATGACTGATGTGTGTGTAAACATGAGAAAGAGACCTACAGGCAGACCCAGGTGTCAGGATGTAAGACTGTGTGGGGGACTGTATGTATTACAGCCAAAGAAGACTCTGCTATGAACGGGCCGGTCTGACGATGTGAGCGCCTGGGTGAGCTGGCCCTGTTTGGTGCGTGGGGCTGTGTGTGTCTCTCTGGTGGGACTCCGTCTGTAGGACCAGTTAGCTCCCTGGTTTTGAGTGTGTGCCAGGCTTCACGTGACTGCCTGTCTGGGACACTGGGGCGCATGTCCAGTGTCCTGGGGGCGTTCTCACGCAGCGTGCTGGTGCTACTGCTCTGACCCCTCGCTTGCCACCTCGCAGCCTCGCAGGCCAGTCTTGCCCTGTGCGGGTGTCCCTGTCTTGGGTCACTTGTGCAGTTGACATCCTCCATCTCCTTTGGGCCGCTGTTCCTCACTCTGACCCCCCCCCCCCCCCCCCCCAGAACAATGGCTTGGTCTGAGCCAAGGGTGAGTCAGCGTGCAGGCTGCCTCCGTCTGGGTGTAAATAGGAAAGGGTGTGGGTCAGGGTGGGAACTGGGGGGATTCGGGGCGGCCCCAGGGAGAGCCTGGATGAAGTGGCCGGGTTCTCCATCACTGCGGGGTTTCTCTCCGGCTCAGAGAGTCTGTGATCTCCCCTCCCCTTGTGGTTCTTAACCCGGGTCCGCAGGGCTTTTACGGGGCCCAGTTAAACTCGGTGAGACTGTCCAATAATAACAGCTGGTGCTTACATAACACCCGGCACCAGGCGCCGTTCTAAGCACTTTATATATATTTGTTCACTTTAATATATCAGACAGGCGACATTATTATTCCTGACTTACTGCTAAGGGCACTGAGGCACAGAGGAGCTTTGGGGTTTGTCCACGTTCACTCATCCCGGAGTGAAAGATCAGGGTTGTGAACCCAGGTGTCTGGCTCAGAGTCTGATTTTTTTTTTTTTTAATCCTCACCCGAGGATACTTTTTCCATTGATTTCTAGAGAGAGTGGAAAGGAGGGAGGAGGCGGGCAGAGAAAAAGAGAGAGAAACATCGATGTGAGAGAGACACATCGATTGGCTGCTGACCCTCCCCCCACCCCGCATGTGGAACTTGCAACCGAGGTATGTGCCCTTTACCGGGAACTGAGCCCTTCAGTCCACAGGCCAAAGCTCTAACCATTGGGAAAACCGGCCAGGGTAGAGTCTGAGCTTTTAACCACTGAGCCACATGTACTGAATTTTCGGGGTGTGAAATATGTGTGGGGGGGGGAGGGGTTGGGGGGGAAGAGAGGCATAACAGGATTGCAGTTTTGCTTCTTTTTTTTTGTTGTTGTTGTTAATCCTTTCCCGAGGATATTTTTTCCATTACTTTTCAGAGAGAGTGGAAGGGAGGGACTGGGAGAAAGAGTGAAAGAGGGGTGGGGGAAGAAAGAGAGAGAAAGGAGAGAGAGAAGCATCTATGTGAGAGAGACATATCGAATGGTTGCCTCCGAATCGGGGGTGGGGGGCAAACCTGCAACCCAGGTAGGTGCCCTTGACTGGGAAGCAAATCCAGGAGCCTTTGGTGCACCGGCTGATGTTCTAACCACTGGGAAACACAGGCCAGGGCTGCTTTTGTATTTTTGACAGTAAAAAAGGATATGTGTGAATTTATTAAGTGGTCACTTAGGATTTTGTCCTTTGGTGCAAATATATTATAAATCAATTTTTAAAAATCGTGTGTGTCTGTTTTCCTTCTGGGATAGGGGCCAGGGCTTCAGATGGATGCTCAAATTCAGGAGGAGTTTCGAATCACGAGGGTGTCTGGGTGAGTGCGCAGGAGTCTGTGCGGCTTCGGCCAGGGACCTGACTCTCTTTCTGGGTCTCAGTGTCTCCATGGATGACCCGAAAGGATTAAATCTGGGGTTTGGGGTTTCCTGTACCCAGGAGGGATCCCCCTTTGCGTTCTGCCCCTCCCTTGAGGTTAAGGGCCACGTAGGTGTTATAGTAGACACACAAGTGCAGTGTATGTGTTCATGTGGGAACCTACTAGGCCTAGCAGAACCTTTCCATTTCTCTTCTGCTCTCTACGCTTCAGCCAGACTGAATAAACAGCCCTCTACCTCACTCACTTATAGTTATTGTTCTGGGCTCCTCCTCCAGGAAGCCTTCCTGACCTCCCCAGGCTGAGTCGAGTGCCCCCTCTGAGCGCTCACCATCCTCTGGGCTTCCTCACCTCGCCCTGACCACTCTGGATCACCACTTATGTTGGGTCTGTCTTCCATACTGGGATGTGAGATTCGAGAGGGCAAGGCTGGGCACCTCAGTCATGGCTGTGTCCCCATCTCTGTCCAGCACAGGATGGCATAGAGGAGCTGCTCAGAGAATGTGTGCTGAATGAATGATTGAAAGGGTGTCAGCCAGAAGCAGAGGGAAGTAGCTATTTGTCTTGAGCAGTAGCATCTTGTGTTCCCGTGGTCCTGGGAAGTCCTAGGGACAGGACTCGGGTAGAGTGGCTGGGTGCTGTGTATGAGTCAGGAGCTGGCACAGGCCATATGATCTGGAGCAGGGAGGGAGGCTGGTCGCACGTCCAAGGACCGGGGACAGACGCTGGCTTATGTTTGTTTGAATTGTATTTATCCCCGGAGAGTCAATGACTGTCCCATCCTCTGGGGTTCCCAGCTGCCCGGTCTGCGGGGTGTGTCACTGAGTTGGGAGGGGATGATGACGTGTCTCATGTCTCAGAATGTGATTCAGGGGCAAGAAACCCAGTGTCCTCGGATGCATGTCCCAAGCAGAGGTCTTATCTGTCTCTTGTGGGCTGGAGGGGCCTGGGGGCCACTGGGCCAGGGGAGAAGAGAAAGGGGGGGCTTGCCTGGTTCCCTGGACTGTTCTCTAAACCTCTTGCCAAAGCTGCTTACTGCGGGGGAGGGGCAGAGAGAGAGAGAGAGAGAGAGAGAGAGAGAGAGAGAGAGAGAGAATGAATAAATGTGTCCTGACCCTGGGCTCCATCTCTGGTGTTTGACCTAAAAAAAATCCAAGGGGATTAAGGATGAACTAGAACCAGCTGGGGCAAATGTGCGATAATTGGGGGGCTTCCCTGAAATCCTAGATGCCCAGCATGGGCATTGGTCCTGGGAGGGAGACATGCAGGGTGAGAGGTATGAGGGGGATTAGAGAGAGCGGAGGGGCGTTGAAAATGTATGGCTGTGGGAAAGCAGACAGACATGGAGGAGAGGCAGAAGAAAGTCGGGTTTGGAGAGAGGACAAGATAAAAATGAAACCACGCAGAAGGGAGCTGAGGCGTAGGAAAAGGAGAGAAACATAAAGGCAGCGATGGGCAGGCGGAGGGAGGGAGGAGTGAGGGGCATCCCCAACAGAGGCTGACCTCATTGAGGGGTGCTACCGAACACTGGCTGAATGGGTGATTGGACAGATGCAGTCGGGAGAGCAAGAGAAAGAAAAAGGGGAGAATATGAGAGGTGGGGGGAAAGGAAAAGATGGGGAGTAGAGATGGGAAGATAGAAAGGGAGGGAAAGCAGAGGGGAGGGAGAGGGAAAGGCAGAGACGGACGACAGACAGACCGGATGAGAGGCTGAGAACAAGATGTGAGGGACAAGCCAGCAGAGCCAGGGGAGACAGAGAGGGGCCGATGGGACTGGAGTCTAAGGGAACAAAAGGTGGGAAAGTCAGAGATAGAATGAGAAAGAGACAAAACAGGCAGAAAACCAGTGAGACTCAGAGTGGGCAAGATGGGGCGACAGAGAAACCCAAAGGGACAGAGTAGGGGGAACAGAGTGTGTGTGTGTGACAAGGATGGCTGGCCCCCAAGCCCCAAGGAGCATCCTAACACCTGCCTCCCTGCCCCTCCGCGCAAGCTCCTCCAACTGACCCAAAGGGGCAGGTGTGTGGGAAGGGGCACATCTGCCAGCACATCATGCAAATGAGCTCATGAATATGCAGCAGGTCCATTGTCTGGCCCTGCCCCCACCCCCATCTGCTCTGGGCCTGGCCCCAGGGGCTGAGAGCAGCTCTGTCCTCAACCCCCCCCCCCGCCCCCCACTTAGGGGGAGGGGAGGTCCCCCACCACTCTCACAGTCCCTGGGGCAGCTGCTCCCACTCCTCCAGGGCCCAGGTGGGAGGGATGGGCAGAGTCCTGGCAGGGGCTTACCCGGATAGAAGTCTTTGGACTTGGAGAGCTTGATGGTGGCTCCTGTCTCCTTCTGTAGCTGCACGATGGTTTGCCCGCCCTTGCCAATGATGGAGCCCGCTGCGTAGCTAGGGATCAGCACCTTCAGGAAGTATTCACCCTCCTCTGCAGGGGCACACGGCGGGAGGAGAGTCAGGGGGAGGGGAGTGGCGGAGGGGTCTTCACCTTTCGGGGTCCCCCTTCTTCAGGTGCCAGCACGGGGTGCCCTAGGAAACCACTGGGCTCACGGTGACTAACATACAGGAGCAATGACCATGAGGACAGCAGAAAGGAAAATAATGATCATTCATTCACTCGCCAGTAGTCACCGAGCACCTGCTGTGTGTTTAGCACTGTGCTGGCCAAACAGCCACGAAAGAAGCAAACTCCCTGATTTCGCGCATAAAATGAGGCCGCGAGGGTTTTAGTCGTTAAGCCAAGAGCTTGCACAGCTACGTTCTCCTAAGGGGGGGACAGACAGCATGGCTGTCAGACGGTGGTGAGTGCGAGGGAAACAAAAAGAGGCAGGAAAGGGCTGGGGAGTGGAGGGGCTGCGCTGTCAGGTCCGGCAGCCAGGAAAGCCCTCCCGAGAATGGGGCTTTCTCTGTCAAACACGCTGCAGCCCTACTATGTGCTAGAGCTAGACTCTCTCCCAAGCACTTACAAAAGCCAGTTCCTCTCATTTTCACACTGATGCGGCGAGGGAGGTACTTTTAAAAAACCCATTCTCGTTTAGGCCGATGTTGCCAAGGGTTGCGGGTTCGATTCCCAGTCAAGGGCAAGTATCTAGGCTGCAGGTTTGATCCCTGATCCCAGCCTCCGGTCAGTCGGTTGGGGTATGTGTGGGGAGGCGACCAATTGATGTATCTCTCTCTCCCCCTCCCTCCCACTCTTCTACTCTCTCTAAAAATCAATGAAAAAATATCCTCTGGTGAAGACTGACAACAACAACCCCCCCCCCACACACACAAAACACACACACACACACACACACACACACACACACACACACCCACCCATTCTACAGATGAGAAACAAAGGTGAAGAAAGCGCCCCCGTTTGCATAGGTGACAGGGCTGAGATCCAGGGTCCTAGCTCTGAACCATGCTATCCTGTCCCCCGGCTGTGGCTATTGGGAGACAGAGCAAGGACAGAGGCCCTGGAGCGGGGTTATGCCTGGGTTGTTTCAGGGAGTGCGGCGGCCGGTGGTTGGGGTTGAGTGAGAGTGGAGAGTGGGAAGAGATGAGGGCTCAGAGGGGTGGTGGTGGCGGGGTGTTCAGGCTTGTGGCCCACCGTGACGTCTTTGGTTTCTACCCAAATAAGATGGGCGCCACGGAGGCCTCTGAGCAGAGGAGGGATGTGCTCTGACTTAGGTTGCCAGATCCCTCTGGCACCCAGGAGGGGAGCAGACTGAGAGCAGCCAGGGTGAAGAGCTGGGAGCCCAGCGAGGAGGGGACTGCAAAGGCCTGGGCAGGAGGTGATGGCAGTTTGACTGGTGGAGGCAGCGAGAGGTGAGAGGGAGGCGGCCGGATTCCAGAAATGTCCTCAACACTCATACAGCCCTGGCGCTGTGCTGCTTGGCAAGGTTGAACTTGTCCATTCCTCGCAACCTGCCAGTGAGGGGGGTAGACGAGCCCCATTTTTACAAAACAGGAAACTGAGGCACGGAGGGACTCAGAGACGGAGAGGCACCAGCTCCAGGTCACCAGCCCAAGGGCACCAAGACAGTTAGTTGCTGGGCTGAGATTCAAATGCGATTCTGCTTGGTTCTTGGCCCTCCCTTGTTTAACACCCTCCACTGCCCGTGGCCAAAGGCCAACGCGTTCAAGGACAGTCAGTCTCAAGACCGGAGGTGCCAAGGTGGTGCCAAGGGTGTCTGTGGGGCTTGGCCATTCTTTGTTATGGCCATTTCCTTGGTCATGGATAAAGCTCTTGGTTAACGCAGTCTCAAGGCCAGTGCCTTGCCTCTCCTACCTTCTAACCAAACTGTTGACTTCTCAACCGAAGTCCCTTGGTGATCGGGCTCGCCCACCTTTCCAGCTGCAGGTCCTGGTCTTTCTCTATGGGCACTAGACATACTTTCCTTTCTGTTCCTCCAACATTTCTTCCTCCGTCCCACCTCAGGGCCTTTGCACATTCTCTGTGTCTGCAACTCCCCTCCCCCCAATGAATTCCTTTTGTCCTTCAGATCCCCACTCAAATGCCTCTTAACTCTTGGAAGCTTTCCTTAAACTCTGAGGAGGGGATGTATTCAGAGCAATGTATCACCGAAGCCCACTGTGGGCCATGCACTAGAGCTCACCCTGGTGTCCCAGGGACTGACCGGTGCCCAGCAGTAGTAGGCATGCAATAAACATGGGGGTGGCGGGGGGGTGGGGGTGGGGAGTAGGGGGACAGGGGAGGGGGGAGCCAGGTCGTCCTGTCTCCAAAGCTTAAGGTTGTAAAACACCTCCCAAGCAAAGGAAACCTATTTTCAATGTTCTCCCATGAAACTCCAACATTCCAACATTCAGATAAGGAGAAACTGCTGGGAAAAATGGGAGCAGGGTCAGGGCCTGGGAGCCCTGCCCATCTCTACCTGGTCCCTTAGGATGGAAGGTTCTGGGTTCCCCGATGTGCTAAGGTGGGGTGTCTGAGGGTGAGGGGTTGAATGTGGCTGTGCCTGCATTGGGAGGGGGTCCAGAATGAAGGGGTTTCCCTGAGCCCAAGGCAATCCTCTTAAACTTGCCTAATCAGACCATTAAGCCTATTAGGTAATTGGCTCGCCCCAGGGTGCCTTCCCATCCATCATCCCAGCCCTCCCCCCAATTCCCTTTCTCCCCTGGGTTCCCAGAGGTGGCCCCTTGTCTGCCCTGCCCCTAAACCTGGCTCAGAGATGAGGGCTAGTTCTCTACCTCCTGGAAGGCTCAGAAAGAGGGTTCAGTTACAGGGAGATCCTTCCCCTCTCACTAGGGCTCAGTTCTCTTTCGTCCTCTGACTCCAGTCCCCATCTTCCCTCCAGCCAGCTTCCCTCTTGAAGAGAGAAGATATTCATCTGCTCTGAAGAAAACTGGTCCCCACCCCATTTCCTGTGCCCTTTCTCATACTTCCCAGGTTTTGTCAGAATTCCCATAGGAAATGGCAGAAACAGCCCTAGACTGAGTGTGAATTTTGTCACCGATAGCCCGTGTGCCCGTGGGCCTCAGTTTTCTCACCTGTAAAATGGGGACATGATAGTGCTACCCCACAGGGCTACTGTCAGTAATAAAATGATAAACTGTAAAGTACTTAGGATGGTTTCAGGCACATGGAGCACTTGAAAAATGTTAGATATCATCATATTATTATTATTATTATTATTATAATCCTCACCTGAGGATACATTTTTATTGATTTTTAGAGAGAGCGGAGAGAGAGAGAGAGATGTGAGGGAGAAACATCTATTGCAGTGATGGCGAACCTTTTGAGCTCGGCGTGTCAGCATTTTGAAAAACCCTAACTTAACTCTGGTGCCGTGTCACATATAGAAATTTTTTGATATTTGCAACCATAGTAAAACAAAGATTTATATTTTTGATATTTATTTTATATACTTAAATGCCATTTAACAAAGAAAAATCAACCAAAAAAATGAGTTCGCGTGGTGTCATAGGTTCGCCATCACTGATCTATTGATTGCCTCCTGTATGTGCCCTGACTGGGAATTGAACCTGCAACCTTTTGTTGTATGGGTGATGCTCCAACAAGCTGAGCCACCCTGGCAGGGCAATTATTTCTATTATTATTACGTGCTTCATGAATATAAGTTCTTATCACAGTGTCTGACACATGGAAGTGTTCTCTAAGTGGGGAAATGAGCCTCTAAGATTTGGGGTTTTGCTGGGAAATATGAAAAGGAGGGGAGACCCCTCTTCCTCCATCACTTACCCCCTTAGGGGCTGCCCTGGCTTTTCCCTGCTTCGTGGAGGAGAAATGGCTTCTCACTGGCAGAAGTGAGACCCTGCGCCCATTCTCCTGCCTCAGTATCTCTGTGATACTCTTCGTCCTCCTGCCACCTTCTTCAATGTTGCCTTTTCCCATCCCTCTGCACTACTATTTCCTTCCTTCCTTCTCTCCCTCTTCCCTCGCTTCCTCCAACAAATCCTTCCTGGCACCCACTATATGTGCCAGGCCTTATTTTATAATGTCTTTTTCTAAATCCTCACCTGAATATATGTTCCTATTGATCTTCAGAGAGAGAAGAAGGGAGAGAGGGAGAGAGAGAGAGAGAGAGAGAGAGAGAGAGAGACATCAATGTGAGAGAGAAACATCCATCGGCTGCCTCCCCTACGCGCCCTGACGGGGGATCGAACCCGTAACCTAGGTATGTGCTCTGACCAGGAACCAAACCCACAACCCTTTGGAGCATGGGACAACGCCCGACCAACTGAGCCCCCCGGCCAGGGCCAGGCCTGGTTTTAGGTGCCGGGGATATATCATGACACAAGACAGGCAGTCCCTTTACCTTAAATCCAATCACTTTTAACATGTATGCTGTGTCTCCCCCACAAAGCGCATTCATATGAGCACACAATGGTGAAAAAACAACAAAAAAAGTCTCTCCATGGACCCCTTAAACCATCCAGGGGTGCTAGGTGGTCGCTGGATCAGACTAGTGGCAATCTGGAGCCCCCTCCTCAGCCAGTCTCAGCAGCTGAGATCTCCCACCTGCTCAAACTCCGAACTCTAGGTCCCAGGCGTCCCCATCCTGGCCACCAGTCTGGTCCTCTCTCGAATCTGCGTGTCCTTCCTATTTGAGGGCACTTCTCCCCGGGTGAGTCCCACTTCCCCGGGGAAGAAGCCAGGCCTCTATTTCCCAGCCTGCCTTGCAGCAAGGGGAGACACGCAACCTCTGCTGACCCTGGAGCCCCCAAGCCTCACCCATCCCACCCTGTTTGAATACTCAGGACTCTGCCTGTGAAAAAAGTTCTTCCTTCTACCGACGCAGAATCGCAGAATCGAGATGCCAGAACGTTCCACCCACCCATGCTCCACCCCCCTCTTAGCACTTTCCTTGGGCTCAGGTAGCTCCCTCTACTCATGCCAGGGACTGAAGAGATGCCAGCTTCGGCTCTCCTGATTCATCTGTGTCCCTCCGGCTACAGTTGCAAGTATTTCCACCTTGGGAAGGGGCTGTCTTCCCTCTTCTAGCCTTTATGAGTCTCTGGTCTCCCCCCCCCCCCCCCGCCCGCCCCTGGGTGCCCACCTCCTCAGGAGTGCTTCTGAAGGCTTCCAAACAGCGACCACCACCACCCCCCCGCCCCTCTAAATAACGTTCACCTGAACCAAAGATCTGGGGTGCTGGGAAGGAGTGGCCCTTTTTACAGTCAGAGAGTGGACCCTGAAAGGCGGCTTTGATCTGAACGGGAGGTCACCCATGCAAAGGTAGGGCTGGGGGTGTACGTTGTGGCGGTGCTGTTTTCCGTGACAGCGGCCTGGGGAAGCCAAAGCCGGGTGCTGTACCCATGGCACCTGCTCCTGCCTGGGGTCCGGGGCGGCAGGGTCACGTGTTCTGTGAGGTGTGCGGAGGCTGAGGCTGAGGCTGATCTTGTCATGGGGCGTGTGAGGGTGCTGGAGGGTACCGCCGAGGATGGGGGGACGCCAGGTCTGGGATGCCTTTCCGTGAAGGATGGTGCGCGCGTGTGAGAAGTGTAACACTACTGGAGCCGGCCCCTGAAGGGATGAGCGCCGGCAGGTGTGATGCTGACTTTGTGTGGTGACACGGTCTCTGAGTGAGAGGAAGGTGAGTGGGGAATGACTCCCTTGGGGGAATTCACCCGTGAGTGGCGGAACAGGACAGTGACATTCTCATGGCAACAACAACAACAACAACAACAACAATAATAATAAAAATACTGAATGACAGCTATTGATTATTGAGTGCTTGCCACCTGCCAGGCCTCACTTCACCTACGCAACCTCACCGAACCCGCACAGCAGCCTGGAGAGGCAGAGGGAGGACTTACGGTCCCCATTTTGCAGACGAGGAGACTGAGCCTCAGAGCAGCGAAACAGGGTGCCTGAGGGGCCCACACCAAGCACGGGACAGGGACAGGGACAGGGAGGAGACGGGCCCTGGAAGGTCCCACCCGAGCGCCCTTAACCCTGGTGCCGTTGTCTTTGTGTTAAGGGATGTGAGGGATGCCGGGAACAGGACCTGGCTGGTGTAAGCTACGGGTGGGGGGTGAAGCGTGCGTTTCTGTTTATATATGGGGGTGACAGAGGTGGGAACACGGCCAGAAGTACGGGGGCCATTCTACTGGCACCTTCAGAGTTATCATCTGTACTCGAGGGGGACGCTCTTTGTTACTGCCCCTCAGCCTGGTCATCTGCTGCTTCTAACTGGAGTTTCCAGCCACCTCTTCACCTAACGCCTCCTGTCCTCAGAGCTTCATCTCCCTCCCAGCCGCCCCTGCCTGCCAGTCATGGTACCCGGAAGCCAGTTTAACAGCCACCATCTCCTCTATCGGCCCCCAAGAACGGGGCAGGTGCCCTGGGCAAGAACTCCGTCTGCCCCGTCTGCCACAACCTGCTGGGACACCCCAGAGGAGTTCCCCAGCTCGCTGAGCCTATCCTCACCTGAAAATGAGGTTCCCTACGGTGTTTGCCCGCACAATGGAGGCAGCCTCCCGAGTTCGAATCACGGCTCAGCCTCTGATTAGCTGACTGACTTTGGGCAAGTTACTTAACCTCTCTGGGCCGCACTTTGCCGTCGGTAAGACGGATAACATAATAGAATTGTATGGATTCAATGATTTGGCCGGTACCAAATGTTTTCCATAATTTTTCTTGGCACGGCACACTGCAGACCTTCAATGCTAGCCATCATTGTAATTTATTATTATTGTTATTATTATTATTATTATTATTAATGTTTCATCTTAGATACTGGGAGAATTAAATGAATGAAATGCTGCATGTAAGGCACTAAGCAATTATACTGGTAGCTTTTATTATTATTATCGTTGTGGTCACTGTTATTTCCCAATTTGGCAGATGGTAGGAACACCGAGGCTCAGAAAAGGGATGTTGACTCAACACCCCAGTCATGAAAGTGTCAGAACGAGCCCTCACTTGCCCTGACTGGTTTGGCTCAGTGGATAGAGCGTCAGCCTGCGGACTCAAGGGTCCCAGGTTGATTCCAGTCAAGGGCATGTACCTTGGTTGCGGGCACATCCCCAGTAGGGGGTGTGCAGGAGGCAGCTGATCGATGTTTCTCTCTCATCGATGTTTCTAACTCCCTACCCCTCTCCCTTCTTCTCTGTAAAAAATTAATAAAATATAAAAAAAAGAAAGAGCCCTCACTTCTGAGATGAAAGTCTCAGACCCTTGCCCATCCCTGCCCCTGAGTGTTTCTCTAAATCAGCGGTTCTCAACCTGTGGGTCGCGACCCCTTTGGCGGTCCGACGACCCTTTCACAGGGGTCGCCTAAGACCATCCTGCAGATCAGATATTGACATGACGATCCATCACAGTAGCAGCATGACAGTGATGAAGTAGCAACGAAAATAATTTTATGGTTGGGTCACAACATGAGGAACTGTGTTTAAAGGGCCAGAAGGTTGAGAACCACTGCTCTAAACGGAGGCTTGCCCCTTTGCGTTTCCGGGCCTCAGTTTACCCGTGGGTCAATGGGAGGGGAGGAGGGGCGAGAGCCTGGAGGAGCGGTCCCTCAGGGCTCATCCTAGTTTCCCTGCTGCCGAGAGCAAGCACATGAGCCCTGGAACCCGGCACCGGCACCGGCACCGGCACCGGGGTTGACGGGTCCCAGCTCCAGCACCGATGAGCTGTGTGCCTGGGCCGTGGCTCCGTTTCCCCGAGCCTCAGTTCTGTTCATCTGAAAAAGCAGCCCAAATCACCCCCCTGGAGGGATTCATTGGGAAATTAATCCGTATCTCAGAGTCTGACTCAGAGTAGGGCGCCAAGGGCTCGGGCCGGACCACCTTCGGCAGAAAGGTTGTGCTGCTCTGAGTGCACTGCTTTGGAGCCTCTCAGCCCCTTTAAGAGAAGAATGGGATTCCCCCTCCCCACCGCGGGGGGCGGGGCTGGACTGCCTGCCGGGCCGGGCTCTGGGGCCACCTGGGTCCCTGACCCTCTCAGCGACTGGGAATGGCAATGGGACAGGAAGGAGGGAAGGAAGTCGGAGGGGCCGTATTCATGTGTGTGTTGGGGGTGGGGGAGCAGGAAGAAGGACAGGAAACTCACTCCCAACCCCTCCCCCAACTTCCCTTTCCTCCAATTTCTGCTGGACACCCTCATAGGCGGCCAGGGGGTCCCCGATTCCTGTCCCACCTGGACAGGGGTGGGGGGAGCACTGGGATAGAAGGAAGAGACTCAACTGTGTTAGTCTGGGGGGGGGCGGGTGGGGGAGGTCCCCACCCGACCCACTCCAGCGCCCGGCAGCCTGGCAGTGGGAAGAGAAGGTGCACCCTGCCTGAGGCCATCCTGCTCCCATCCCGAGGAAAAGGCTGGAGGAAGCAGAGATTTTGGCCAAGGTGACCGCCAGGAGGGGCCTCTCTGCTCTGGGGTCTCCCCTCGTCCAGGGCTAATGGACTGGGCTCAGAGGACCCCCCGACTAATTGCTTGCTCCTGAGACACACACCTAGCGCCCCCAGCATGTCTTTTATTCTCCCGTACACATCCCTCTTCAGGTCACACACAGGGACGGCCCCTCTTCTGTGGTGTCACACACACACTCCCTTGACAACCACACACAATCATCCCCACCTCCCCGGTGTCACACACTCAACCATCACACACACACACCTCTCCCCTTGTTACAACTATACACACGCTGGCTGTCACACACGCACCCTTCCCTGCTCATACCCCTTGGGTGTCATATGCACATGTTCCCTGTTCCCGGTTCACCCCCGGAGCCCCAACCTCTCCCTCGTCATACACCCACCTCCGCTTGTGGCACACACCCCCTCTGATGTCATTGTTGCACACCTCCATGTGTCACACCCAGCCACAGCCTCTCTGGAGTCACACCCACACCATTTTCTGGTCACATACCCTCACCCGCTTCTCCTGGTCCCACCCCACCCCAGACACGCCTGTGTCACATACTGAACTGCCTCCCCCTGATCCGCACAGCCTCTCATGGCTCACACCCAGAGCCAGCCCATTCAGCGTCCCCCACACACCCGCTTGCATGTCACACACACCCTCACTCCTCTACCGCTGCCACTTTTGGGGTGACATGCACACACTTTTCCTTGTTACACATACCAGGGTCTCAAACATGGATCCCAGCCCCTCTCATCTGCCCTCTCTCTTACACAGACACACACACATACACCCTCTTTCCTGCCGTATCCGTGATCCCTAATGCCACACATTCAGGCCTTACAGGGCCCACACGCACACATGAATACACACGAACACACACACACACACACACCTGTCCCAGCCACACATTCTCCCACCTGGCTCTACACACCCACCCTTTCCTCCATCTCACCAACACACCCACCCGCTGGTGCCCACACACAATTCCTTCCGCCGTGGCCCGCACATGCCTCCCTCCAGGACACCCCTGCTCAGGACATCCCCAGGGAGGAGATGGAGAGCTCCGAGCCCACAGGCCTCCGCTCCTCCTTCCCCTCCCCCCGCCAGGACGCGCCAGCCGGGAACACCCCTGCCCCAAAGGGTCACATCACACACCCCTCAAGGACACGGACACCGGCTCGGAGGGACCCGCGCCCCCAACCTTTGCGCCCCCCCAAGGACACTTACCACCCCCTCCCCCCCCAACTCCTCTGGTCGCAGACAAAGCTCCCAGCCCCGGGCCGCGGCCAGCAGGGGAGGGGGTCCGGACTCTCCCCAACTCCCCTCTCGGTTCCGGGGCTAGGGAGGGGCGCTTTTCCCCTCCCTAGAGCCCTTGCACCTGCCAACGGGGGAGAGAGGAGGATGGAGAAAGGCGAGGCCCCCTGCCCGCTCCCCCACCCCGAGCGCAGCCCCCTCTCACCTCCCGTGTTGCTGCGCTTGGTGCAGACCACCTCGGGGGGCGTTTCGAGGGGCCTCTTGCGGGAATCCGGGGCCTCGGGCCCCAGGGGGGGGGCCTGGGGCGGCGGCTGCTGCTGCTGCGGCTGCGGCGGCGGCGGCGGCGGCTGCTGTGGCGGCGGCGACGGCTGCTGGGGAGGCTGGGGTTGCGGCGGCGGCGGCGGGGGCGGCGGCGGCTGCGGGGCCGCGGAGGCCGTGAAGAGGCCGTGCACCGCGCCGGCGGCCATCATCCTCATGGTGGGGGGGGGGGGGCAGAGGGGAGAGGGGAGGGGGAGGGAAGGGGATGTGGGAGGAGGAGGGGGCGGCGGCGGAGGGATGGGGGAGGGGGAACCCCGGAGAGGGAAGGAGGGAGGGAGCTGGTTCTGGGGGGCTGACAGAGACAAGAGAACGGATGTGAGCCGTATGGGAGGGCCCAGGGGGTCTCCGATGGGGTCCGGAGGAAACTCAGGGGTGGGGTCTCTCTCGAAATCAGGGAGCCCGGGGACTGGCCGCGCCACTGGAGGGATGGGGCTCCCTTCTTGGCTGCCCCGGGAGGAGGGCCGAGCCCCCCAGACCCTGCTCGGGGCGGGGGGCCGGAGCTGGGAGGCGGAGGCAGCCGCTAGTGGGGACGTGGGGCTCGGCGGGCACGGGTGGCAGCGGCGGCAGGGCTGGCGGTGGCTGCTGGACCAAGCATCTTCTTTCCCGGAGGCTCCCACCGCGGCCTGGCCCCGCCCACCCACGCAAGGCCACACCCATGCCGGTCAAGGCCACGCCCCTCGGGGCCCCCATTGGCCTGCCCTGGAAGCCTAGACCACGCCCCTATGTGTTGGCCACGCCCCTCCCACCGCTGCCGGAGGGACTCAGCTTCCCCAGGCTACAGTGGGACCCCGGACTCAGGCAACACATCCCCACCCCTCGCCAGTAAAGCACGGTTACTGAGCACTTGCTATGTGCTCGGTCCGGTTCTAAGCAAGCGCTGCACAAACATCACATGGAATCCCCAGAGCAACCAGCTCCTTTAGGTGCTCTTAGTATCCCCAGTTTACAGGGGAGGAAACTTAGCCTCAGCAGCTGGACATCACTTGGTCGAGATAAGAAATCCCACGTCACAAGTCTCCCACCCCAGCTGGGACGTTCCTCCTCGAAACTTTGCATTTATTCCTTGAAGAATTAACACAGGGTTACTGCAAGGCCCCTGGGTATTAATTCAATGAATACCTGAGTTAAAGCGTGTAGCTCTGAGCCTAGCGCACCACTGGTGTTCAATTCAATCAACATGTTAGGTGCCAGGCACTGTCCCTTACAACGCTGGGGGACAAAACAGTCGCCCCTTGTCAAGTGTCACTATTCATGTCATGAAGAAAAACAACTTTTCAGATGACAAAGTGGAGGCCCAGGAGCGTGGAGTGTGGCTCGTCCAAGGGCACACGGATAGACTGAGGGGGAAACTGGGATTTGAATGAAGGACAAGTTTAATTTCAGAGCCGAAAATCATTGAAAGTATGGGGTATTTCCTTGGAATTGATCATTGCTAATAGTCAACGTTCACTGATCCATTAATTTTCTTCTCCTTGGATTCCTGGTCTCCCAGGATTCTTTCCTTCCTTAGGTCAGCCAGAGGCAAGATTAGGCTCAGAAGAGGCCTGAGTGAGGGTGATTGTGGCAGCCGGGGGGGGGGGGGGCCCTCCTCCCTCTGCTCCATCCCACTGCTGCCCCCCCTCCCTTGCCATGCTCTCAGGTCCCCAGGATGGAGAGGGTAGCAGATGGCCTGAGGTGGATGGGGTGGTCACCCATCTGTCCCCTCCCCCTATTGTCCCCAGAGCCAAGGGGGATCGTAGGGGGTTGTGGTCCACTGCAGTCAGGATCCTCCCCCTCCATCTTCCTGGAGGAAGCTGAGGAGCTGGTTGCCATGGAGACGGAGAAGAGGCAGAGGAATGCAGGGAGATACTGGGGTCAGGCGGAGATCCACACCTAGACCCTTTGAGTTACATATACTCACACCACACAGGTACATATTTCAACATCCATGGGGTTGGGTGTGAAGTCCCGCCAGTCCCAGTCACACAGGCCCTCTTGCAGACACACAGGTACACACTCTCAACAGTTTCACATAGGCACACTCTGATGTATGAAGAAGACTCATGGGGGATAGGCACACGGGTGTGCACACACACACACACACACACACACTCCTTAATAATGCATAATGCACAGTTAGTCAGGCAGACCCAAAGCCATACCACAGGCACTCACACACAAATAGACACAGGCACAGCTGATATCAGAGTATTTCCCAGGTGCGCACATTCAGAGCCAAAACTACTCCACACTTGGCCACACACGCCCTGAGAAGTTGTGAGGACATGATTGCAGCCACCGAACAAGCACAACCCATGTTACATAAGGCATACATGTTAGTGACATGTGAAATACACGGACACACGGACTCAAGTGTGTCTTCCACGCAAAGTGGGTAATCACACACCTTTAGATACATGTCCCACATAGTCTCATGCACACAATACAGGAGACCTCACAGATCACTCAGCAGCATACACAACACACATGGAGTCCCGTGTGCAGCTCAGCCCCCACCCCCTAGTCATGCCTGCAGCCCCAGCTCTACAGTCCCCCCAAGCCCTCCCAGTTGGACACACACGACAGCATGGTCGGTCACGCACTCACACTCACACACAAACACAAACCTCCTCCTAGATATTTTTAAACCCAGGCTAGTTCTGCTGCTATGGTAACCGCCCCAAACCCATTGCCATAGCAACCCAACGTCAGCTTTCCAAGCACCAAATCCTGGGGGATTGCAGGGCCCCAATCAGAGGCCAGTGGAGGGGGTTGCTGCGCCCTCTGCCATCATCCGTGCCACCCCAGTACCCTCAGTCTAGAGTCTTCAGGGAAGCGGCCACTGGAGGCTGGGCAGGGGCCGGAGCCAGGAATACAAGACCATCAGACTGAGCTGGGACAAGGGCAACCCTCAAATTGCTTTTCCCTTCAGCTGATCAGAGCTTTAAGGAGGGGACCATGGGACCAAAGTCAGCCTGCATCTGGACACACAGCCTGGGTTCAAAACCTGGGCCTGCCGTTTACACGCGGTGTGACTCGGGCATACCCTTAACTCTCTCTGAGTCTTATGTTCCTTCATTTGGACAATCTCGCCGCTGTCGCTGTCGAAACTAACACCCCAAAGGACTGTTGTGACTCGGTGGTGAAAAGCCAGGCAGACCTGCATCCCAATTCTGACCCTCCCGCTTTCTAGCTGTATTAACTCAAGACAGGGCCTCCCTTGTCCTAGCTGGTTTGGCTCAGTGGATAGAGCGCTGGCCTTCCGACTGAAGGGTCCCGGGTTCGGTTCTGGTCAAGGGCACGTGCCTCGGTTGCAGGTTCAATTACTGATCGGGGCGTGCAGGAGGCAGCCAATAATAATAATAATAATAATAATAATAATAATAATAAAATAAAATAAAAAAGAAGAAGAAAAGAAAGGGCCTCCTTGACAAAGTTCAGGGGCAAATAGTAGTCCAATTACACGGGGGTGCAGGTAAGATTTCCAACACAGGGGTGTGGTTGCTGACCTAATACTTTTGCACGTATTCCAACATATTTAAGTCTTAAGCATGGCCTTGGGGGCAGATACTATTATTATTCCTGTTTTGCAGAAAAGGAAACTGAGGCTCAGAGAGCTTGCCTGGAATCACACAGCTACAGAGTTTGGAAGCGTGGGGTTTGAACCGAGGGGGGGAAAGACACATGTTGAGCCACTGCTCTCTCCTGCTTCTCCAAGAGGGGAGTTTGGAGAGGGAGTTTGGATAGAATGGTCGATTCTTGGAAATGCTGCCTAGCCTCAGTTTGCTAGCCTGCAGAATGGGAGTGAAAACGATCCTGCTGGCTGCACTGTTGGAGGACCTACGAGGCAGCTTGCACCCGGGGGCTCTGAGGACAGGCTGGCACACTTGAGTGCTTTGTATAGGTGGGGAGCAAAGTGGGAGGGGTAGGGCAAGCGGGCAACTGGGTAGGCGCAGGAGAGAGGGAGGCTGCTGGGGCTCAAGCCCTGCTTTTCTCTTTCCCAGCCCGGTGACCTCAGGCATGAGCTTTCTCTAGCCTGAGCCTCAGTCTTCCTATCTGTCAAGTGGGTGGTGAGAAATCCAGGAGCCAAAGGAGGTAAGACCATTTAGCATGGGACCCAGTGAAGAGCTGATACTAGCATCATCTATCCAGTCTGTACATGGGATCTGGGAGAGGTAGGACTGTTCCATGCAGGGTTCTGCAAACTTTTTTGACCCACAGTAAGCAATACACTTAGTCAGTCCACTGGTATGGCTCAGTGGTTGAGCATAGACCCATGAACCATGCGGTCACTGTTTGATTCCCGTCAGGGCACATGCCCGGGTTGCGGGGCTCAATCCCCTGTAGGGAGAGGGTAGGAGGTAGCTGATGGATGATTCTCTTTCATCATTGATGTTTCTATCTCTCCCTCTCCCTTGCTCTCTCTGAAATCAATACAAACATATAAGAAACATAAAAACATTTAAGAAAAGATAGAATGGACAGGGAAGACCTCACTGAGGAGATGACATTTGAGCAGAGACACGAAAGAGGTGAGGTCAGGTGGATCTCTGGGGAAAGAGCGGTCCAGGCAGAGGGAAGAGCAGGTGCAAAGGCCCCGAGGCGGGAGTGTACCTGGCTTGTTGGAGGAAGGAGGAGGAGCCCAGGGAAGTTGGAGAGTGGGAGGGATGAGGCCAGAGAGTTTGGCAGGGAGCCGACTGTCTGCTCTGAGGGCCACAGTCAAAGACTTAGCTTTGACTCGGAGTGAAATGGGACCGTGGGAGAGTTTTGAGGAAGGATGTGAGTTGATTTAGGTTTTATCACAAGATCCTTTTGGCTGCATGCGAACAATACTGCGGGGGGCGGGGGGCGGGGGGCAGGGGGAGGTAGAGGGACCAGTGGTGGTGGTGGTAGAAGTATGGAGGTGATCTTGACCACGCAGGTGGGAAGTGCTGGTGGTTGGGCCTGGGTGACAGGTGGGAAGACATCACTGGAGTCCTGGTTCTGCCATGTGACTGTGGGCAAATCATTTCACCTCTCCTGAGCCTCAGTTTCCCCATTTACCAAACGGGGGTGATGATAAAACACCCACCGCTCAGAGCTCCTGTGTGGTGTCAGTGTGACAGAGCTGAGACAGCCCTTGGCACAGAATGTGTGCTCAACAAATACCGCTTGTCACTGTCACCGTTACCCCCCAGGC